AGAAAATATTGAAAAAGAGCTGGGGTGTATATATATATATATATATATATATATATAAAAAACAATCACACACAAGGGTTAATACCACACCTTCTGTGATCAAAAATAACATGATTTTTTGTGTGTTTTTTCCTCAGAGTGCTCCACTCCCTCAGCTTCTAAAAAAAATGTGTGAATCAGGCTCGCGTCGTTCCACCCTTGCTTCACGCCTGCCCATTTTCCGCCGCAGCAGCAGTAAGAAGCAGGACTCTCTCCCATCCTCTCCCTCTTCAGGTGGAGTTGGGAATGGTGTCCACACATCTTCACCCTCCAGCACTAACTCCAGTTCTGGAAGTACAGGAAAACGCAGGAGCCTTTTTCGTGCTCCATCTCTAGGCTTCTCGGCAAAGCGGAACAGCAATCCTCGTGTCCAGCCAATTAACCTAAACTTTACTCCACAACAGACACAGGGCATTGATGCAAATGGCAATAACCAGACACCAATAAGTGTGTCAACAGGTTTTGTTCAAGGTGAGGGGCGCTCCAAGTCACGCCACTCATTAGGGTTTGGAAGCCACAGGCAAAAGAAAATAACTCGGTCTCACACGGAAGATTTTGAAAAAGCGTCTTCTTCCACGACCTCCATGACCAATCGTAATGTGTTTATTAACTGCATCAGTGGCTCAGGGGCTAATGAGGGTGATGACTCAGGGTTCCTTGATGACTACAGCAGTGCCAGTAATAACAACAAACGTACATCACACCACAAGAAACAGCTCTTACCTAAATCTTTCTCCTCCAACCACCGCTTCTCCAGAACATCTGACCACCGACCTCCAGAGGTGAACGTCATACTTCCAAGCTCTACAACCCTAACTCCAGGTGGTGTAGGATTCACTCCTGGGTCGTGGCCAGGTGAACTGATAGGTGCTGGAGGTAAAAGCTCTCTGCAGTCCCCTCTGATATCAGAAGACCGAACCACAGCTATCACACCTTTAGAGTTCAACCCCATCACTGAAGATTCTGTATCTGATGTGGATGCACTGCCAGCACCAAGGCCTGGGTCTGCTATAGCTCCTGGACCTGTGTCTATTCCTGGACCAGCTACTGAAGCAGCTAGACCTGATCCTCCACCTGTCATAGAGAACAACAACTTGGTCGCTCCCACTTTCCAGGTGCTGTTCTCTTTTTGAACAACTCACTATAGTGTATCACCTTAGGTGCTTTGAAATAAAATAGGATAATATTAATAGGAAGTATTGCTATAATACATTTTAAATTAAAAAATATATTATATATATGTTTGTTCAGTCCATGAATGCTTGTGTATTAACAGTGTATACATTTCTTTATTATAAACACAGATGAACATTTTGGTTTTAATGTAGTAAATATATAATATAAAATATATAATTTAATTGGCTAATAGTTTTTGTATTTTTGTATTATAACGCTGAGAGTGTGTGATTGTTAGCTCTAACATGTGACTTACATACATCCCTGCTCAAAGATGACGAGTAAATTCGTGAAGCGTTCCTTATTTTTATGGGGCAGTGGTGGCTTAGTGGTTAAGGAAGCAGGAAGGCTTCAGGTTTGAGTCCACCAGTTGCTCTGAGCATGACACCGTCCTGACACACTGCTTCCCGGGCGCTTAAAGCTGCCCACTGTCCACTATAGTGATGGGTTAAAAACAGGTCACATTTGTTTGTGTGCTGTGGTGTGCTGTGTCACAAGTGTTCACGTTCCTTCCTTCCTCCTTCCTTACATGTAACTAAGTGCACAGTTTATGTCAGATTTTTATTTTCCTACAATTGTAAATGCAGGGAACTATATATAACTATAACACCATTTGGCTGAAATAAAATTAGACAGGATTTCAACTAGGGATGAACTGATCCACATTTTTTCACCAATCCGATCCCGATATTTTGAATTTGGATATCGGCCGATACCGATACAATTTCGATAGTATTGATACTATTGTTAGTATTAGGTCAGAAGAGGAAGTAAAAAAATACAGGAACCCATGTTAACAGCAATAATTCCATCCTTTACATAAATATGCAACTGTATGGGTTTGAAATTAAACATTTTATTAAGTGCAAAGTAAACATTGTACAACACCATGTGCATCTGCCCTTATTCAATTCATGCTGGCTCTATTGACAGTAAATCAACATGTAGTTCAG